TCAGTTTAATTGACAGTTCATTGTTGACTTCAGTCAGACATGATAATCACTGATAAAACCACTGATGTGGATGTATATCAAAGTTCCCAAAAGTGATTTTCAATCAATGAATCAATTTGTGTGCGGTTGACATTTTCTTGAGCTTGTGTCTCTGTTGCCTGTTGACAACAAAAATTTCCTGTTGGGTAATTAATTTAGGCGTGTTCAGCCGGAGCATCAGCAGGGCATCATTATCATTCATGGTTCAGCTTAGTCATAGAGCGATAATGAAGGATATGATTGACAAAAGAGTGAGACAGAAGAAAACAAGTGGGTATGTAGCGCTGGATGACAGAGTGGGTTGAAGGGCAAGGCTTAAAAAATGGTATTGACGGAGAAATGAAGTGGACACAATGCAACCTCAGAACAGCGTTATTTTAAACCCATTTTTTTCCAATCTTATCTTTTTCCCCTCTGTCCCTGTAGGATGTTTGCTTGCAACACCAACAACCTTGAGCTACAGAGAAAGATCCATAAGCTGGAGGAGACCAACAAGTGAGTCCTAAAATGGCAATAAGTGTTGCAACTTATCATTTTGATGTGTTAGCAAAACTTTCTATTTGTTCAAAATCAGGACTGAAAGAATACAAAGAACACAAAGCCCATTCAATTTTCTTTTAAAGCCCATTCAATTTTCAAACCTCACACTGCGTCCTCTGATTCTCCAGACTCGTAATTCGCTCACCTCAATATGATGTTTTTTTTTCCTGACTGTGGCAGAGTGCTTCGGTGAATTTTAATAACATGTATTAAGAGGCCACATACATAGGCTACTGCATGCTGCTCTTATTTTGTTCATTTAGCTCCGAGTGAGCAAAGCCACTCAAAGAGTGCTGGGCGGTTCATCATGTGAAAATGTAACACAATCTCTTTCGTCTTCCTGTCTGTATTTATGTTGCAGTGCTATGTTGGAGCAACTGAGTCGGCTTCAGGCTCTTCTGCCCAAAAGCTCCAGCAAAACAGCACACAGAGGGACCTGCATCCTGGTGAGATACATATCACATTACATGAATTTACACCACTGAGAATTAGCTCAGGCAGCATCATCTGCCATGGCCATGAATAACGTATGTGCTCATGTTTTGCACAGAATATTATGTAGGTTATTTCTAATAACTCCCCCCTTCTTTCTCCCTTGTGTTTTCTGTTCTGTTTTTGTCCTGCTTTCTGCGTATACATCTAGGTTTTGCTCCTCTCGTTCTCCCTCATAATTTCCTTAAATCTGCAGCCAGAGCCGTACAGCCAAGTTGGCCATGAGGAGTACACACTGACCCAAAGTATGTAGACATACACAGACTCACTCTCCGCCCTTTTCTAAAAAAATAAAATCTCACACACGCGCACTAACTGTTCTTTGCTCATCAGTGCCATCACGTTCCCTGCAGTCGATGGATGAAGCACCAGACGTCCCTCTGTTGACTGACGGTAAAGCTCTGAGCCTGGACAGGTCTCCCTACAGTAGACTTCCCACTCTGTCACCTTCAAGATGAGAGAAGGTGAAAATCACTAATCTCCTCGGAGCCCACCAGGAGGAAAGATGCTGCAAGGGAGTGCAGCTCTGCTTGCAAACAGGATTGAAATGAGCACTTTGATTGCTATGCAGCGACTGTTTCACACTCCAGGAAACAATTGAAGTGTTAGTGTGTGTTTTCCATAAACTCTAACACACACACACAGCTACTTAAATAGATTTTTAACACTGAACGTCACTCACTCAGTTGGAGGTTAGAGATGAGGACATCCAAACGGATGAACCCTAAACTTGTTTTTTGGTAAAGGTACCCTTGTGGACTTGGTGGAATTGTATTATATTGCTGTCCTATTATTGCAAGATGCATTATTTTTAAAAATGACCTTTGTATTTTCATTGCTGTATTTTGTTGTTGTTCATTTTTAATGTATATGTTGAAAAACTTTATCAAAAAGCATGTTCCATTTTGTAACTACTCAGTAAAATACTGACGAAAGAAAAGAGAATCTTCATTTGTATATTCATTACAAAAGAGCAGGTAAAAGACCTAACTCATTATTATATTATTTACAAAAACCCAACATTAATCTATCTATCATGCTTATCAGTAGGGCATAGGGCATTATTGGGATCAGGTTTCTCTTTACTGAGATAGATCTATGTACATTAAAAAAAAGAAAGAAGAAGAGCTACAATTTGTTGGTACTAAAGAACACACACAGAACATGAACGGTACAATATGTAATTCACTGGATGCGTTCCTCACAAAAGAATGAGGGGAGCATTATGTGTGGATGTGTTTTTAAACTGCTGATATGTAAGGGGCCTGTACTTGTTTTAAAATGAACACAGCTGAGACTGTCCAACAAACTGCTTACACACTGTATTTCATATTTCACTGGTTTTACAGTGAGCACACAGTGAGGTCAATATGACATGAATAAGAGTCTACATTCTACACATTTGCACACATTTCCCAAGTTTACTCTGACATATATACTATACAGATGTTGATTTGATAGGCAGAAAGACAAAGTGTCATAAACTCTGGAATTGTAGTTTAGTGTGCATACAACATGTGATAATTTGCACTCAACGAGAAGGAAGAGATGAGGATGCTGGACCGTCTTAAGTTTAGAAAGAAAACAAGCTTAACTGATATTTGAATTTGATAATGGTTTCAGACGTTAAATCATCTCTTAATGTAATGTGTTGAGATTGAGACAGTCAAATTCATCCAAAAGTCGACCAAAAGAAAAGCCAGGTCACAAAGTATAGTTTAATCCATTTACAACGATACAAGGAAGTCTATCCTGCAATTATTCATATTTACTTCAGTCTAGCCAAAATACAAAAACCAGATGTTTTGAAAGTGTAAATAGTAAAATTTGTGGTTTGTAAAATATAACTGAGTTTGGTTGGTGGCCTGTCACACATTGCGTATGGTTCTGTGGGGTGAAATGAGCTCTTCTATCATTTCAGTATTTCAAAAAACCCAGGCTGTTGCTCTGTTTGCATTTTGTTACGCATTTCACAAATCTCTCTCAGTACTGTTTGTCAAAATCTTTGAAGAATCTGAGAAGTTAGACTTTTAACTGCAGTTTTAAAACTGATTCACTTCAACAAAAGTCGCCTATAGTATCCACAGATGGAGCATTAAAATGATTCTAGTCAGCTTTTCATTGTTTGCATACAAATCAATTATTTTATTTAGATGCTCTCGCAAGATCGATGTCTGAACACCCCCCATCCTTTTATTTTGTAAGTGCCATGAAAAGCAAAACAAAGACAAACTGATTCAAAAGAAACAAGACATCTTTAAGTAACTGAGTGACATCACAGACAGCTTCAGAAATGCAATATAAAAAAAAACTGTCATCAATTAGTGTTATCGTCAGGTGAAATTGTTCTTTATTTTATTTAGATGCTGTCTTTGTTTTGCTTTTCATGGCACTTACAAAATAAAAGGATGGGGGGTGTTCAGACATCGATCTTGCGAGAGCATCTAAATAAAATAATTGATTTGTATGCAAACAATGAAAAGCTGACTAGAATCATTTTAATGCTTATAATATGGAAATCAGGATTTCATCCAAAACAAGTGCTTCATTCGTCTATTCATTGCTCATGTACAAATTCTTAAGACGTTCAAAGCAGGTGAAAGCAAAACAAAGACAACATCTAAATAAAATAAAGAACAATTTCACCTGACGATAACACTAATTGATGACAGTTTTTTTTAATATTGCGTTTCTGAAGCTGTCTGTGATGTCACTCAGTTACTTAAGAATTTGTACATGAGCAATGAATAGACGAATGAAGCACTTGTTCACTTCAACGAAAGTCGCCTATAGTATCCACAGATGGAGTCTGACATGAAGTATTGATCAGACTTCTTATGTGTCCTGTTCATTTGAGAAAGAGATGAAGCTGTCTGTGATGTCACTCAGTTACTTAAAGATGTCTTATTTCTTTTGAATCAGTTTGTCTTTGTTTTGCTTTTCATGGCACTTACAAAATAAAAGGATGGGGGGTGTTCAGACATCGATCAGCTTACAGAACACTCTTTACTAAGGTTATTCATCCAAAACAAGTGCTTCATTCGTCTATTCATTGCTCATGTACAAATTCTTAAGACGTTCAAAGCAGGTGAAAGGTGTGTGGGAATTTTTTGATCCGTTTCTGACTGTCCAAGCGAGACCAGTCTAGACTGTTAAAGTGTGCTTGAGAAAATGACTCTCCTTTTCTTCTCTCCTCTCTACACACACAGCTGGCCATGGAGCTGAATTTTTAAAAATACCAACAGTGACCTAAAAGAAATGCAAATCGAAAACACACACGTCTCTCTCATTTCATATCTCCCCTTTCCTGGCTCCCTCATAAAGACTGCAGTTTGAAATTTAATTCATCATTCCTCTGGCGTGCATCATTTCACACGCACAACAGACCCTAAGGAAACCTTTCTGAAAATACTTTCATGCATAATTTACCTTCACATCGTAGGCAGGAGTGTTAAAGGTGATATTTGGACACAACATCAGAGAAATCTGATTAGCCAGCTCCATCAGAGAGGAGAAAAAAATGGAAATAGCAAGCAAATATTGAATGAATGAATGAGTGCACACACAAAACTACTTAAATGATCCAAAGCACGTCATTAGTTTAAACTGAAGTATGCTATAAAAGGATAAAAGCAAAGACACTTCTGAAATACTGACTCTATTAAAGTGCACAAAACTACAAAATGATTTACTTAAACATGCCTTCCCTCTGTTTGTTTATCCGTGAATCATCAATTTAAAATAAATAAACTTTAAATACCTCTGATTTCATCATTAAATGGAAATGAGGAGTTAAAAATGGACGGAAAGTAAAAAGTGTGGTGAACGGAGCTTTATTACTGCACCCTATCTGCTTCTATTGTCAGAGTTCAGTTTGATGGAAATGCGTGCGCTTCAGTCTGTGGTGCTGTTTGGCAGCGCGCCCTCTAGCGGTGGAGGAGAGCCCTCGCGAGTATAAAAGCCTCAGTTCCAGGACGCCGTTGGCATCACTGAAGGCAGGGAGGTGGCTGCATCACTTCAACCTGACGATTTTATCAGCTTTATCATGTATTTTTCGCCTCTTAACGTAGTCAGATGTGTTCATATGAGTTAAAAAAAATAAATCTTGAAAATCATGCAACTCTTTTGTTGATCTTTTGTTTGAGACTTTGAAGATTAAATCACGCACGGAGGACCATGGGGATTTCTCCTGCGCACCCGTGCTTTGGAAGTACGCCCGTCAGAAAGTGAGGGGAAAAAGTTGTTTTCCAATTGAAAGTCACCTTTTCCTCTGCAGAATCATGCAGAGTAACAACAGCGCATCAGCTCTGAGCGCGCTTAGTGTGTGCGGAGAAGATGATGATGCACGAGACATCTTCAAACTTGCCGGTCCTGCAGAAGCAGTTTCCAACCTCGCAGCTTTCAATCTCTCACTCAACTGCTGGCTGCACCTGCTCTCCAAGGAGTCCTCGGTGGACCTGCACGGGGACAGTGCAAACCTGGCAGTGAGTTCTTTTTTTCTAACATATAGTAGGGATAAAATTGAAATATCTGTACAGACATGTTTTTTGCAGGATTCAAGCTAAAATATGCAGATAAAATGTGCATGGAGATCAAAAAGTGATCCCAAACAAACCTTTTACTGTAGCCTATGTTACTAAACAGGTGCGCGTCCTCATTGCCCTGGTCTACCTGGTGGTCTGCGTGCTGGGGCTTGTGGGTAATCTCCTGGCCCTCTTCCTGCTTCACTCTCGTCGTCGGGGCCACCACCACCACTCTTCCATTGAGTGCTTTGTCATGAGCCTGGCAATGACTGACCTCCAGTTCGTCCTCACTCTTCCCTTCTGGGCTGTGGACACGGTGCTGGACTTCCGCTGGCCCTTTGGTCAGGTCATGTGCAAGATTGTGAGCTCGGTCACCACCATGAACATGTACGCCAGCGTCTTCTTCCTCACCGCCATGAGTGTGACCCGATACCGCTCCCTGGTTACCTCCCTTAAGATGGGCAGTCCAAGGATCGCCCACGCTCGAGCCAAATGGGCCAGTTTAGGGATTTGGGTGGTGTCGCTGGTGGCTACACTGCCTCATGCGTTCTACTCCACCACGGTCCAGGTTTGTTCAATTAACACTTTTATTTTCTCAGTCACTCTTTCTGCTTTTGGTTTAAACCCTCTCATTCAGCTCATGTTGTGTTTTCAGGTTTCTACAGATGACGAGCTATGCCTAGTGCGATTTTCTGACTCAGATTCAAGCCATTGGGATCCTCAAGTCCTGCTTGGACTGTATCAAACACAGAAAGTTCTCCTGGGATTTGTAGTTCCTTTGATCATCATCTCGGTGTGCTACCTCCTTCTCTTGAGGTTCATTCTGAGCCGACGGGTTGTAGGGAGCATTATCAGTGAGAGCGTCACAGAAAGGTCAGAGTGTGAGAAAGGACGCAACCGTCGCCGCTCCAAAGTCACCCGCTCTGTCACCATCGTAGTCTTGTCCTTCTTCATCTGCTGGCTGCCCAATCAAGCATTAACACTGTGGGGGGTGCTCATCAAATTTGACCTGGTGCCCTTCAGTAAAGCCTTCTACAATGCCCAGGCATATGCTTTCCCTCTAACTGTGTGTCTGGCTCATGCTAATAGCTGTCTCAACCCAGTGCTGTACTGCCTGGTCCGCAGAGAGCACAGAGCTGGACTGAAGGAGCTCCTGCTGAGGGTGTCGCAATTCGTCCAAAATGTTTGCACACGGGCTCTGAGAGGAAGGAGGGTGGAAGAGGTGCCACCCAGCCTAGTCATGGTAGACTGAGACATCATAAACACTGAATTCTGACATTACACTAATGTTTGTACTCCAGTGTTTCCCCTACCATTATATTAAGGGGGCGGCCTGCCCCCCCCTGAAGGTCAAGTAAAAAAAAAAAAGTTTTTCTTTTTTTTAAGTATTATTTTTGGGCTTTTTGTGCCTTTATTGTAGAGATAGGATAGTGGATAGAGTCGGAAATCATGGAAAGAAGTCATTTAAGGATACCTTTCCGATAGAAAAGGACAGCTGTCATTTAAAGTAACACATTAAGGCCAAGATTCCTTCAAGTGTTTGTGTCGTCATGTCGCCGTGTCGCCGTGTCGGCATGTCGGCATGTCGGCTTGTCCCCAGCCCCCCAACGCTGTAAACCTAGGGGAAACACTGTACTCTAAATATAGACCTATAGTCATCAGCAGGTTAGCTTAGCATAGCACAACGACTGGTAAGGGGGGGAAAGAGCTGACTTTGCTTTGTCCAAAATGATTTTAATGTGGCTACCACCACCTCCAAAGCTCAATAAATAACACAATGTATTGTGTTTGTTTCGGTGGTTTGAAAATAGTACAAAGGTATGAAATTATACATTGGGCTTTGTGTAAGACTAGTCGAGAGTCTTTTTAACAGGCAACCATTTGTTTTCTACATGTATTAAAACATTGAGATAGGACATGTAAATTAGTATGCTTTACTAGAGCTAGTGTGTGTTAACATCTGGACAATACTAGGCAAATGTTTCCCCATGTTGGCTAAGGTAGCTAGCATACGCTTTATATTTAGCGTTCAAATCATATACTGTAAATATTAAACGACAAAGCCTGAGTGACTTAACAATTCTGTTACTGCAGGGGGCGTTGGGAGTCCCATCAATGGCGGCCACCATGCCGTAAATGATGTCTCACCCTAACTTTCAGTCCCCCTAATGGCAAGGTTAAGAGCTGGAGCTGCTGGGGGTTTTAAGCCTCTTGACAAATCGTTACACCGGGCCTGCCCTTCAATCCTTATTGTGAATTACTCTTATCCTTCATATAAATCAAAACAGATGAGTAATCAAAAAATTCACCACCCGTATGGTGTGTGCTGATCGAGACATGAGCTAATCAAACCAATTTAGAGTTTTTGAAGCAGGCTGTAAACATGTTTATTGCTGCTCAACAAACAGCAGGATTTTTGCACTTGTCCATCAGCTTCATTTTCAACAGTGGAGTAGCTGCTTGGTTCAAACATGCAAGTGGTATCAATATTCTTAACTTTTGGCAAGAGAGCATAAAGGCAGACTTCCTGAATGATTAAGCATTTCTTTTAATAATAAATGAGACGCCCCTTTTTTTTTGAGTCAGCTTTGTTTGCCATATTTTCTTTGGTGCAATTTAAAAAAAACTTTCCTGCTCTGAAATTGGACATTAGCTTTGATTGATTGCTTGAGGCTGAACACGAACATTCAAGTTTTGTTTTAAATACTCCCTTTTGGGGAAACTCAAACTCTCCAATGCACACCTATTTTTGTTTTGTTGTGTTCAAACTTAGACAAAATACCATCTGCTGAATGATTAGTGAATGGAGGTATGAAGTTTAAGTATGAATATAAGTATATATTAGGTCTCTTAAATCATCACAAATTTGATAGATCAGAAAAAAAACAGGGACTTTTGAGGAATTTTACATTAAAACACAAATAACGCCTGTAGATATTTAACATCCGCTTTAGCAAATATAAAATAAAGCTCTTTGGCCCTTGGAGAATGTGTTATTTGTTTCACATAAACAGGCATCTGGCATTTTGATGTTGAATAGCTCAACCTGTAAAGAAATTCTTTAAATGTCATACAAATGCATATTTTGAAGACTGTAAGATTTTGACAAGACTTTCACATGATGTGTTCAATTATTTTGGACATTTAAATCTCCCACACTATAACCTTCATATGCAGAAATACTTCATTCAGTCAAGGTGGTGATGCTGCTATGACGCTAACCATTTGATTTCTCTGGGTATCAGTTGTGAAATGTTTTGTAGATACTTGTATGTAATGTGACATTGAATAAAAACAAGAAGACAAAAGAGATCAATGATGTATCTGGAAATTTGATCTCGTCTGCAGTCACAAAATGGTGAAGACGAGGAAATTGAGTCAACAGCACAAAAGCTAATCCACATTTTTGCCCTTTTGCAACCTTTTAAGTAAACATGGATTACCATCTGCAGCTGTAAATGCAAATACCACACACACATACACACTCCACTACAGCCACTCCCTTGTATTGTGTGCCACACTGGCAGTAATTACCCCTCCAATCAGAAATGTTCTCAGCTCTCTACATGGGAGGCTCTAACATTGCTAAAAAGCCAATGAGTCAACAAAGGATCCTGCATGTTTCAAGTTTGATTACAAAATGTTATTCTTTCATCTCATTCTTCACAAAGTTTGGGCCTGTTTTTGTAGTCATAATGTTGCCAGAGTCTTTTTCTGTGTACTATTTTATCAAAAGAACTTCCTCTGTTAAAGACATTCCATACTTCTCTATTTGGACCTTTCTAGCTGCCATAGATCACTTTGCATCATCATTTTTTTCTCATCAAGCTCGCAGCAATGGACAGAACAGGTAGAGTACCTGTACTCACAGCCAGATTGCTCTTCTGTATTTCAGAGCAATTACTCAGAGTCCCAATGATGGAAACCACTCTGAGCATCATCCCTATACATCAAGGTATGGTTGCTATGGATCAATGCTTTAAAGCAACTTCAGGCTTAAAACTGAACCTGACAAGATTCCAGTAACAGGAGGATTGGTACTGAGTTCACACTGTATTACAAGCTGAAATTGATCTAAAAGCTGGTTCACAGATGAGAAAATATAGCCATTTTAGATAAGTAAAAAATGATGAATAAGCAGTGAAAAATATATAAAGGGATGTGTGTGACAAATTCTCCAAATCTTATCTAAAGGTTATATACCACTTCTGAAAATCATCAGAATAAAAGCTATCACTTTGTATAAAATCACTCACTATATACACCATGGTGAGATTGTAGTTTTTACCCTCAATATTTGAATAAAGCATCCCTAATTCATCTTAGAAAGTGGTGTAGTGACCAATTTTTGCAAAAACAATATATCTGTCCACCAACTCTTATGGTATTACTCATCAACAACCATCAACTGCATATCAAAGGCAATTAATTTATCTCATTTTGAGAGGAACATGGATGATAAATAAAACATGAAAGAGTAATGCAACAAGGCAGAGGCAACATAAGACAAGACTGGCTGCTTAAGACAAAAAAAAAGGCAAGACAAGCGAAAAACAAAAAGACAAACCTTAAGAAATGAAGTGAGAGAGTGAACAGGGGCTACCTGTGCATTAATGATTGAAATAACTTGGGAGGGGAAAGACAAGAGTATGTGCATATGTTATGTCATGAGAGTGCATTTTGATCAATTGGGGGAAGAAAAGAAAGAAGGATAAACTATAAAGTAAAATAACTTTTCTTTTAAATATGTGTGTGCGTTGGGGGCACTGGTGGTATGAGGCAGGCCACATTAGTTTTTTTTGTTTCATTGTATTTTATTATCTCTGTTAAAAAAACAGTATTTGTTTATTATTTATTCTGTTTTTTCCCTGTTCACTTTGTTTACCTATTTCAATATCAATTTCTAAGATGATAAAGTTGTAATCTTAATCTTAAACACAGGGACAATTAAATCACCCTGGATAAAACTTGAAGTTGAAACGTTTTCCTCACTGTGGTTTGAGGTGAAGGTTTTGAGTCTACGCTGCTCTGTATGCACATTGTGTTGTAGTACACGCAGAAAGAACACAAACATGCCCCTCTCTTAAAAGAACAATATCACTAAAGCTCTGTGGTGATGAATATGAATGCTGTTGTTAGCGCTGTTACAACGCAAAAATTAGCATTAAATGTGTTCGAGGAATCCTTCTAAATTAATGACAAATTCAAATGATTCCCATAGGTACAGGAAAGGGCTAATTGAATTTAAACGGTCTACTGCTAGTTGCAATTAATCATCAACCAGGACAAAGACACGCTTATGAATAAATCCTCTTTGTAGTTCAATTTAGAGTTTCCGAACAACATATGGCCCATTTAAGGCAAGGCAAGGCAAGGCAAGTTTATTTATAGAGCACATTTCAACAACAAGGCAATTCAAAGTGCTTCACACAAGACATCAAAAGCATCATGACAGAGGAAAGAAAATTAAATTTTATATTAAATCTGAAAATGTGTTCAAATTAAAATAATTCAAATTAAATTAATTGAAATAAATAAAGTAAAAATATAAAAAGAGTTAAAAGTTACAGAGTTAAAGTTTAAAATCTTATTAAAGCTGTTTAATTAAAGGCAGCTGTAAACAGGTGTGTCTTCAGCCTCGATTTAAAAGAGTTGAGAGTTTCAGCAGACCTGCAGTTTTCTGGGAGTTTGTTCCAGATATAAGGAGCATAGAAACTGAACGCTGCTTCTCCATGTTTGGTTCTGACTCTGGGGACAGAGAGCAGACCTGTCCCAGACGACCTGAGCGGTCTGGATGGTTCGTAATTAATCAGGAGGTCACTAATGTATTTTGGCCCTCAACCATTAAGCCTTTATAAACCAGCAGCAGGATTTTAAAATCTATTCTCTGACAGACTGGGAGCCAGTGTAAAGACCTCAGAACTGGACTGATGTGATTAATTTTCTTGGTTTTGGTGAGGACTCTAGCAGCAGCTTTCTGGATCAGCTGCAGTTGTCTGACTGATTTTTTAGGCAGACCTGTAAAGACATTGTTACAGTAATCAAGATGACTGAAGATAAAAGCATGGACAAGTTTTTCCAGGTCCTGCTGGGACATAAGTCCTCTAATTCTTGATATGTTCTTCAGGTGATAGTAGGCTGATTTTGTAATTGTCTTAATGTGGCTTTTAAAATTGAGGTCTGAGTCCATCACTACGCCCAGACTTCTTGCCTGGTCTGTGGTTTTAAGTCTTACTGACTGAAGCTGCGTGCTGACTCTTAGTCGCTCCTCCTTCGCTCCAAAAACAACAACCTCAGTTTTGTGTTTGTTTAGCTGGAGAAAATTTTTGCACATCCACTCATTGATTTGCTCTATGCATTTACCCAGTGCTTTTATGGGACAATTGTTGCCTGGCGACATTGTAATATATATTTGTGTGTCGTCTGCATAGTTATGATAACTTATTTTATTGTTTTTTATAATCTGAGCTAGTGGGAGCATGTAGACATTAAACAGAAGAGGCCCCAGGATGGAACCTTAGGGAACTCCACAAGTAATTTTTGTTTGCTCAGATTTGAAGTTACCTATAGACACGAAGAAGTCCCTGTCCTTAAGTAGGATTCAAACCAGTTTAGTACTGTTTCAGAAACTCCCACCAAGTTTCCAGTCGGTCGAGTAATATATTGTGGTCAACTGTGTCGAACGCAGCATTAAGATAAAGTAAAACTAAGACTGCGGTTCTGCCACTGTCTGTATTTAAACGGATGTCATTAAACACTTTAACCAGAGCTGTCTCAGTGCTGTGATTTGTCTAAAAACTGACTGGAAGACATCGAAACAATCGCTCAATGTCAAGAAGTTATTTAACTGTTGAAAAACAGCTTTTTCAATTATTTTACTTAAAAAAAGAAGATTTGATATAGGCCTGTAATTGTTCATTATTGGCTTGTCTCGATTGTTATTTTTTAATAGTGCTTGATGACTGCTGTTTTCAGGGCCTGAGAAGAGACAGGTTTACAATTTGTAACAGATCTGGAGCCATGACTTGGGAAACTTTTTTGAAAAAATCTGTTTGCAGAATATCAAGACAGCAGGAGGAGGAATTTAATTGTTGTATAATGTCCTCCAGGTTTTTAAGGTTGATTTGATTAAATTGTGTCATGGTGCTTAAGTTGGTTTTAAATGGACACAACACATATCCTGATCCTGACCCTTTGTAAAAGCTCAAAAGGACAATAAAATATATCTATCAATCTCATCTTATCTTATCTATCTGTCCATCTATCAAAAGATCTTTAGTGGTCTTCTTCCTCTTTCAACCTCCAGGGACGCTGTCACAAACTTCTTATGGCCGCTCTGCCATGTAGCTCAGACTTTTGATGTCCAGAAAGATCCGCCTTTACAGCCTGCAGGACTCTGATCTACATAATGTGAAGGTCCTTTTTTGTTGAGTCAAGGACGATGAACAGCTGCAGGAACAGTCTGTCGGGTGCTACATACAGTAAACCATCTCTACAGTAAAAGCCTGTGAACACAACTGCATTGGAAATGATTTCATGCTGACCTTCAGCTCCCTGTATGTATCCTCCTTATACAGTCTCACATCGTCACACATGTTCTAAGACTAGATGGCTCTGAATTGCTCCTATCAGCAGTTTCACTTTATATTTACTATGTACTATTGATTGAACGGATCAGGTAGACATACATTCAGTTAGAGTCTGTAAATGTGCTTTGTGGCCACTTCATCAGGTTGTTTTTTCAGATAAAATCCTAATAATGAAGCCTGCATTCTTTGGCAATGTTTAAAAAAAAGGTGCTGGTTGTATTCCTGATATTTTAGCCCATGTTGACAAAATAGCATCACACAGCTGCTGCAGATGCGTGCGCTATGCATTCATGCTAGAAATGTCGAGCTCCAACATACCAAAATGTGCTCTTTTGAACTGAATCTGCATTCATGCGCTCCTGGCATGGTCCCATTTCAAAAGATGGGAGGCTGTTCCTCCAGCTTCAGTATGATCAGGAGCTTTAGGTCTTCATCTGGAAACAGCATGAATGCTACCTAACCGTGAGCAGCATTTCATTGCTTTGAACTTAAAAATGTCAGTCAAAATAGAGCAAATCATGTCTATGATGCCAGTCTATGCTCTTATTTAAAAAATAACATTCTTTAACCATCAATCATATACCACTGCCTGCCATAGATCTGCCTAATTTGGTGTCAAGTCAGTGAATTTCAGAAAGTTGAGCCACAATCTCCTCTCAAGTTTCCCCCTCAGAAAATACTTTTTTTTAAATCTTTTATTCCAACACAACACAAATAGAGAGCCAGTCTGCTCTCTGTAGTGGCCAAGAAGTCATCGTTATTTTGTTGGAACCAGCTTGAGATGAAGTCAGCCCTGCAACAGTCCTTCATACTGTAGCTCTGCACAGAATAATAGGGATACTGTGGACAAAACAACAATAACAACACAAAACACTTTGCAGATCCTTTGTGCAGAAAGAAAACTCTATAAGTTCAATAGCTCTATAGGGGAGGTATAATTTAAAACAGGATTGACAGAGATGTAAAAGGAATATGGGGATTGTGTAAGGACCTATGTATTCACAGAGCAGCAGCAGAAACAAATGCATGTTTGCGATTGCAGCTGTTGTGTTTCCTGCTCATTCTACAATCTGTTGTTTATACTGTAGTGGGATGTCTTCAGTCAATTAAGTGCCTTAAATGACTGAAGCATATTCATCATCACATACAAAGCAACATGTTCCCGACAGAAATCATTTAGAAACACCTGTGGCCCGCCCACTAACAGCCATAGCATCTGCAATGAGTGTCCATTATCTCAGATGAAATGTTGCTGTACATACATGTATGTAACAAGGCCGAAGCTGCTCGACAGTTCTCAACATACAGTGCAAACACTCAGTAGGCTGTTACAAGAACATATTGTGTTTATTGTAAAAACAGATATATATAAAAAAAACAATACAGTAACCTTTTTTTACTCAGAGTAGTGTGTCTTTTCCTGAGATTGAAAAAAAAAAAAAGATGTGGTCCTCTAACTGCCAATCAGCTGCAGGTGCTCCGTTTTTGCACAACAGGAAAATGCGCATCTCACTACAGAAAGAGAAATCTTGCATTCAACAAGACTTTGATGCTTGAAGGACATAATTTCTAATTTATTTGTTGAGGATAAAACAAAACAAATCAAATATCAGTTTACACCTAAAATCAGGCTTAGAGACGTTCTTAATCTCTATCTTTGTGAAGAATTGAACCTAGGTGTCTTTAAAGGCTAAAACAGTAGGGATGAGATGAGCAAAATCTCACATACTTTGAAGGATTTATTTTAAAAACAGTCAGATATAGAGAAAGTTGAAAACCACCATTGTGAGGTGTTTTCTCTTTACGAGGTTTTATGCGTTGTTCAGACGGCTTTGACAAAACAATAACCAGGGCATGTTGAACGTGTCATAAACTCATCATCTGATTGGACTCAACAACTACGCTAATGTAGTTTCATAAAGAGGTCTACTTTCGAGCCCTTATTCCTCGAGCCAATAAAAATGTGTGTAAGTGATGTCTGTTGTGATTTTCAATCAACAAACTGCCACAATACAAGAGGAGTCTATTCAGGGTCAGATCAGCAGACCCTGTCTCCTAATTTCAACCGACTGATCCCCCTCACTAATAAAGTTTATTTCTGGATGTGTTTGTGTAGAGATAAAAACACAAAAACAACCTGAGGCTATTTCTCTTCAGGTATCTCTGCAGGGGAGTCTGCTCTCTCCCTCTTTACGGGAATGGTCTCCTCTTTGACTCTCCCATCGTTCGTTGGGGATATCGCCTCTCTTTTCCTCTCCTCTTTGATCAGCTCCTTTTTCACTTTACCCTTTGCATTATCTGCATGTGCTGGTTTGGTATCTGTCGCGGCTTCAGAGCTGACTTTGGCGCTCTCACATATGGTTGGACCCTCCCACTTTGGAATTTCCAATCCGAGCTTCTCCATCACCTGTTTCATGACTTCGTCCACGTAACCATTCATACGCAGGAAGGCATGCTTATCCTGCAAGACAGAAAATTGCAGTCATGAAATGATTAAACTGAAAATGCCAGACAGGTGAATGAGCAGCCACTTTTATCCACAATTCTGCCTTTTATCTGTTCACAGTCCGTGTTTCCAAACATGTACTGCATGTGTATGACAAAGACTCACGTGTTTCGTGGGCTGCAGGTTGACAATGGCTACTTTCCCTCCTTTGCGTTTGGTGAGGAGTGGAAGGTCACCGCTGGGTTTGATCTGCAGGGACGTGCCGAGTGTAAGTGCCAGGTCAGCTCGTCTGGGTTCAGACAATATAGAAATATGTCAGAGATGAAGGTCACGCGTGTTGTTGGCCACTTTCTTCTACCATAACATCTGAGTCACAGTGCAGAGCATCCTTTGCTCTAAAAACTAATTACCTGCTGATCTATGAAAAACCCAGAAGATTTTGATATGACTTGCAGCTGTTGTTTAGGTTTTCTCAGAACCCACTGAAGCTGATTTCACATTTGCACTTTCACTTATACACTCCTGAAAAAACTCCTGGAAAATGTCAGGAAAAAAAAAACAGCCACATACATTTTTTTTGTTCACACTTGTCCTTGCAGCTTGTAGTTTACCTGTCTGTTAGTAGGCCTATGTTCTTTTCCACTATACGTAATATTGATATAAAGCTGAAAATCCTTAAAAACATTTTTTATTTTTTGCATGCAAGGAAAAAAAACACACAGAATGCCAGAGAAAATAGATCCCACAGCTTTCTGTGGTTAGGCAAGATAAGTGCATGCACTGTGGTTACACAGATGTTGAGTTAGAAGAACAAACAGCCATTTGTGCAATTTAAAAAAAAAAACACCGGCAGCATGAAGTGCAGAGATTTATTCCATCTCACCTGCTCGCATCTTCAGCTTTGTTCAGGTCTTTGTCAGGAAGAGCATCCTCCCAGTCCAATATTGTGCTCATCAGCTTTCCTCTGTTTTAGTAAGGAATCACAATCATATTATAACTGGTGTGTGGTAAATTATGGGTTATTTTATAATGTGGTGAAAGTATTTGTTACCTGCAGGCCCGGAGTCCTCTGGATCGTACCACTTCACAATACCGTCCTGTAGGTTTCAGTCCCATCACACCAATCACTTTTTCTCTCACATACTGCCTAAAACACCAAACAGAGCACGCCTCTCTTTAATCAGATCCGCTCTTGATAAAAAGCATCTTAAAAGAACAACAAGTCATTTTACATACATGAATTGATACACATAAACATGTTGACATATACTCAATGAACACTTTAAAAGTATATAAACCACACACTTGGCCTAGAGGCTGCTCTGAGTGCTCTTTACAGATATCACAGATTAATGTACTTTCTGCAGCATTATATAAAGCTGCATTTTGACCTCTGCTCATCTACCTTCATCCTTAAAGGTAATCTATGAAATCTGAAGGCTGAGAGTTAACTGGATTTAAAGGAAGTCACTGTAAATGTTACTAGAATATTTTTGAGATAATACACCCTGAATGAAAGAGTGTATTATCCTACTGAAAGCCTTTGATAAAAAGGTTAACTGTGCTGTTGTTGATCTAAAAAAAAAAATCGTCTCTGCACACGAGGAAACTAAATACAGATGGCAGAGAAAAATACTCAACGCTTAATTCAAAGAATTTGCTTTCAACCTTGACACAAGACCAAGTGCATCCCACGTCAAATCTACTTAGCTCAGTTACTTTTTTTCTTATAAAAGACAGCAACAAAATCCAAGTGTTACTGTCGTGTGAGTCTGTGATGCATACCTGCCACACTTCTCACACTCCTCCACAAACATGTTTCCATGAAGCTCTGATAACAAGTCCCTGAAAAAAGCAAGACAGAAACATGTCCTCAGATGCATAAATGTTACAAAAATGAAATTCCTTTTGAGTCAGTTTTGCAGTGGACAGAAGGGGTCCAATGTGCAGATAACCAACCAGTTCACTTTACCAGTCCACCTGCTGTCTCTGGGAGTTCCTCACAGTTCTTACACTTTGTGGCTTCAAAAGCAGGCAAGTCTTCTTATACATTTTAATTTGTATTAAATTAATTAAAATTGTGATTATATTACCCAGAGTGACAACACAAGTCTTTTTAGCACTATTTACATGGCTACTTGTTGGCTCTGTTAAAGCTGATATCTCTAGAAAGAATTGTCATATTTTATAAGTAAGGAGTCCCAACTTAACTTGAATCTTGTTTTTCTATATTTCAGAGTATTTTACATAAAGAAACATATAAAAAATAGAATGAATTTTTTCTCTTCAAGAAGGAATTCAGTATATTTTCAGAACAGTCTGACATTATAATGAGTGCATTATGTCCACTTCTCTAAGTCGTTCCTTCTTCTCTTCTCTCATTTTTTTAAGAACAGGGTAATAAATATTTAAGCACAAGGAGAGCAATTTTAAGTCGTTTGATCAATATCTGGATGTTTATTTCTGCTAGTTGCTCATTAAGTAACTTAAAAGATGACACATCTTAAAAGCTGTTTAAAAAAAAAAAAAAGATCAATACATCAACTAAACACAAATACTGCATCTGTGGTCACGATCAGTGACCAAATCACTCCGCTCTCTACCACTCAATTACGCTCCTTTCTTTGGTTAAACAGCTTTAAATTGTCTTGTTTTGATCCACTTTAACCAATCTATCCATCTTCGGTTACAGCAGCTCTCTACAGCTCAGCTCTATGAAATCATACCTCTCCAGCCCCAAACAACAGAAAGTTATTGATTAACTTGTGGACACAGTCGAGCATTTATAAGCTTAAAGGCACTGAGGTATTTCCCTGAGGAGTCGTTGAGGACTAAAAACAGAGATAAAGGAGATTGAATATTGGACTCAAATTCATCACATGAACATAAAACATGACTCGCAATCAATGCTGCTCTGCGTCTGCTAGATGTGTAAATAGACTGTTTACATGGTTCCCATAAAAACCTATTGTGTGATAATGTGTCAGTCAGGGTTGAAAAGCTGCAATGACAAGTCAACTCGCTGATTAGTCAATTAACAAAGAATTAAACATTAACTATTCTGATAGTTGACTAATGGTTTGAGAAGCTCATCCTTATTGTTGCTTGTGTTTATAGAAAGTGTAAAGGGCAGTTTAGCTGTGTGCAGGATTTTTGTACACCAAATGTTTGAGAGATTAATTGAAAAAAAAAAAAAAATCAGTAAAGTGATAAATAATGAACATACTTTTCAGTTGTGTTGTTTTTAGAAGTTGTTCTGCTGACGTAGGGACAAAAACAATACTGATCTTGTCTGTGATGTATGAATTGTTAGCATGCCTAACAACAACAATGACATCAGTTAGCTACTTAAGAGTGTAAAAAGCTGGACACATGTATAACATGCTTTAGGACGGGGGGCAAGATTGAGTTACCTCGGGAAGCCTGATCGGACGTGTAGGCCGTCCACATTCTGGCTGATGAGATACTTGAGGTACCCAGCCCTCTGCAGTCCCAGGAGGGCCATGTGAGTCAGGCTTGGTCGAGCATCCTCAAAAGTGATGTTGAAGTGAGGGGACTCACCCTTTTGTTCTAGCGTCCAAACACCCTTTGGACCCCTGATAGAGAGCAGGGTGAGGAATAGACTGTTACATAGGATTGGAAAGGTTGTGATGCACTGGGTGGACTGCAGGCATTTCATGTTGAAAATCTTTAAGTGGGTTTCTTTTCATGGTTGAGCATTTTCACTTCATGGAAGTACTCCGATGGTTATCAAATGCAAAGAATCTGTCGCACAATCTGAAATGACTCTGTTCAGGCTTCTGTGATTAAAAAGTCACTTGGATGTGGATGAAGGGATAAATGCAGTTATACTGTCAGCACTGATGCCAAGTGACTTCAAGGACACACAGCTTATCTTTATTCATCGAATGAGGTGACCCATCCTGGGAATCCATCACAGGCACAGCAGTCTCATCGCTTGCTATTCTATTTCAACTTAAACAGCCCCATTTCTCACCGTCGCCATGAATCATCGGCTGCTCAGATAAGACAAGTTCAGAGATGTCACTGCCACTGATAAGGTCTGTACATCAGAAAAAAATGCTGCTTGGAATGAAAGCAACACAGCATCTGAACATTGCATTAATAACAACACTAAGAGACTCTCATACTGTGCCTCTGTGTGCGGGCCTAATGTGTACATCCAACCTCGGCTTTAATGATAGTGCCGTCCAAGATTGACTCTCCATGACTGACAGGCAAAACAATCGAATATATGAATTAGTCGTGTCTCAATAGCTCACGCCTCCAGGATCCTATGCATGTTTACACAAAGGCTGATATCTAATCTATCATTCACACAGAATAATTTAACACATTACTGCTGTGTCTACCGTTAGCTCCAAGTACAGCATGGGCGCTCAGTAACAACAAATATAGGTAAGCATCACTTTAGAGTAATGGGCTGACACGACAAAGTTTACAGATTACCACGAGACAAAATGCACAGACAATTTTTAAAAGCTGGATACTGAGAAAACACTTTACTTCAGTCTTCTTGAGTAAAAGAACAAAAATGTGCTTGAGCAGTATCACGTATAATCTTTGCACTATAAGAGGAGAAAACAACTAAAGTGTTGGGAAGTATTTCAGAGTGTGTAATTGTTTACAAAGAAGTGGACGTGAAGAATGACATCGTACCACCCTCATCTGCCCATTCAGTGGTACTACAAGAGAATTACAAGGATGATAAGCTAAGACATAGCTACTTGTGATTGGCTCAAAAAGTTAGTCGATCCCAACTGAGCCCCATTTTAAAAAATTACCAACTTTGTACAACAGATGGGTTTTTGTCTGTCTAGCTTGTTTCAAGCTAAGAACCATACGGGGGTTACATTATTATAAAACTAATCAATTCAAATTATTTAACGGTTTAAATTTATGTTTTAATGACAGTTGGGTGCCAAACTCTGTCTGCTTGGGGTCCCCTCAACCAATCCAACCACTGACCCAGACCTTTTACTGGTACTTGGGATGCTGGTGCCTCAGGGAAATGCATTTTTTTTAAATATCAGACTCATAATATCACTTGCTGTGCGGTTAAATATATTAACATATCATCCAAGGAGTCTATGCTTCATTTTTTTTTTTTTTTAAGTAAAATGTTAGCAATAACTTTGTTACCACCAATGGCCAATTATCGATATGCACCCTCTCCATACCTGGGTTATTAGTGTTTCTCATACATTGATTTATCTTCTTTTTTAATCAACAACTGTTTGCAGACCGACTGATCATGTAATCAGAGAACCTTGAATTGTATGAGCATCCAGAATAATAAGCACATTCATATTTACGTAAATACAAAAAAATGTCTTTACCTGCCAGACACATTTTGTTCCTCTCATCAGAGTGAACACTATGATAAAAACAAATCTAACTTTTTTTTACATTTCATTATTACAAAAATTATTTATACCGAGTAGGTTTGAATATTCCTAAACATTGAGCTCCATGATGAGTTTAAATTAGTTCAGATTTACTGGTTTTGTCCATCAGTATACCGCTTACATTCCTGTCTTCACCTCATCTCCAGCGTGGTCATGTAGATGAAACACGCCTGAAACAGAATGGCTCTGTGTGTTTGTGAAAACTGCTAATAGAAGGTAAGAGCTGTAGTGACGATGTTGGTGGCTCACCTGAAGTCAGGGATGCCTGCTGAGGTGCTGATTCCCGCTCCGGAGTGAACAACCAGGTACTGAGATTCTTTGATCAGCTCAGCGAGGGTCTCCGCCTTCACCTTGAGCTCCTCAGGACCATCAAACGTCTGGCACAGAACAGAAAACACAAAATTATGATAAGTCTTACAGTTTTACAAAATGTATCAATAATTTACCTATGAATCAATATTTAGTCTTTCGCTTCCCTGGTTGTTGAAAATCTAATTTGACATAAAATACATTTTCTACCACACATAGGCTCAATGACATCTTTAACCATCCCCTCATTTACAAATGGGACACAATTGTGCTGAATTTATTTAAGAGTTACAAAACTCATAAATGCTACTGAAGAGGTTGATGTAATGTAGATTTATAGTACATTATTGTAAGTATTGTACCTAATGACCCTGTACTTCTCTCTTTTCTGTTGCCTGAGATAACATTTCAAGCCCTAGTTTATGTGTCTAACATTACTGTACCTATCATTTCATGTCTAACAAGAATTCACAAATGCAAAACAGGCTAATTAAGGACACATGTTTTTAAAAGTAGTCCAACTTTGGATCGGCTTCAACACAAAAAAAACTTTCATTTCACCATGAATAGCCTTTCCAAATAAAGATTAAATAAAGAGGCTAATAATGTTAATGCATTTGACCCAGCTTTCTGTAGTAGGATAACGTTTTCCCAACATTTTCTTCATTACATTTTTGTAATAAAGATCATTCTTTATGCACACATTGAGGAATATAAAGTCAAAGAGCGTCATGTTTGTTATCCATTAACATCCTGAGGACTTAGAGCTAACCTGCTAACAGTAAAGCTACCTGACCGGCGGCTCATGTTTACCTCTGGAAGCCCGCAGACACCTTTATCCGCGTACGGCGAGAGCCCGGCAGCATAGTTCACAGACATGGCTGTTTGTTGGTGTGTTTATTATTCGTGCTTGAAAATATTACCTATTTTAAAAAGCTTTCTTCTTCTTCTTCTTTTATGTTTGATAGCGGGGAGGCAGACCAGTTTAAAATTGCGTTACCGCCACCAACTGGACTGGGGTGTTTCTGTACGCAGTAAAAGAAAAACCCCAACAACAACATAATCTGTCATGTTATTGTTCCCTAAAATAAAGTAATACATGTTCTGTTTCTTGTTGGTAACAGTGTGAGCATTTTCCAATTGGGTGCTTGCTTGTTTTATACAGTATGTGGTTGAAACTTGTGGGACCTTTTCTCATACAACTTAATGCCATAACCACACTGAACCTGGACATGCGTTGACCATCCCACCCTCATCACACATACTGTGCAATATTTATTTTATATTTCTGCAATCTCTTACATTTCATACTGTGCAATATTTATCTTATTTTATATTTCTGCAATATCTTACATTTCATACCGTGCAATATTTATTTTATATTTCTGCAATATTTTACATTTCATACCGTGCAATATTTATCTTATTTTATATTTCTGTAACATTTTACATTTCATACTGTGCAGTATTTATTTTATATTTTGGCAACATCTTACATTTCATACTGTTCAATATTTATTTAATATTTCTGCAATATTTTACATTTCATACTGTACAATATTTATTTAATATTTCTGCAATATCTTACATTTCATACCGTACAATATTTATTTAATATTTCTGCAATATTTTACATTTCATACCGTGCAATATTTATTTTATATTTCTGCAATATCTATTTATATTCTGTTATGCTACTACCTGTAAATATCTCCATTGCCCATCTTACCTGAATGAGAGTTCCTTTTTATTTATTATTTTTTTCTTCTTTTGTTGTTTTTAGCTGTGGATGCTTGTATGTGTGTGCACTTTAAGGTGAAGCCAAATAATTTCGTTGTACAATTGTATAATGACAATAAAGACATTCTATTCTATTCTACTTCTTCCCTTCGTTTCTATCCGGCCGTCTATCCTACAACGGTTTTGAATGTTAGCCTATATATAATTCTCCTGAGACACAGCAATTCATTTTTGTGCACTGTAGTGGACTAAGTATTTTTGCTTTTATCTCTCGTGCGACACATGTTACTCTTTATGTTCTTTAAGAGGACAGTTGGAGCTTTAAAATGGCATCACATGTGGTGGTGTGTGGCCTTGCTAAGTGCATTTCAAAGAGCTTTGTGACTTTAATACATATTTTTTATGTTATATTTTGATTGTTTAAAGTAAGTTAGAATCTTCTGGACATCAGGACTTTTTACTTGTGTTTGTGTCACATCTTACAGGCTCTTTGAATGAGGCAGAAAGGATTCTTTAAAGTTTACAGAATCATTGTAGGAGATTCAGGCACAAGTCTGTCAGAAGAAGAGAGTCCCAAGAAAGAGAATGAGACACAGAGTGAAAGCTCAGATAAAGACAAAGACGAGGTTCCACACTCCAGTGAAGGGAAGACAAAAACCAGTTCTTTAAAGACTGGCCCTGGCCCGGATTCAAACCACATGACAGCTCACGCTAAGGCATCAGTACTAACCACCACACAAACAGGCCTCCTCTCTGTGCCTGCTTGTTCAGGTTTATTAACTTTTCAGTACACTGTGGTAGTACAAAACCATGATCCACTCCCCAATGGAGGATGTCTGAAGCAAGGCTAAGGTTCCTGATCAGGGCCACATACGACCCCCTTCTCAGTTCCGGGAACCTGCACCCCTGGTATGACTCAGAGGAGACCTGCCAGCTTTCCCAGAATGCAACATTGCAGCATATCCTCTCTGGATGCAAGGCAGCATGGGCACAGGGCTGGTATAGGGGCTATGGTACAGGGCTGACCAGGTCCTCTGCAAGTCATCTGAAATCCTAGAGGCAAACAGGACCAGACCAATAACATCTCAGCAGTGGATCCAGTTGGTCAGGCAGCAGGGACCAGGCCCAGGCCAGCAGCACCAAGGTGTGGTAACCTGGAGGTGAATGGAACATGACAGCTGACCTCAACCCTCCAGTTGAAGTTCCTACAGTAGATCACCACAACCTCCACAGGACTCTTGTCTGTCCCCCACAGACGGTCAAGTTTAATAAAAAATGTTATCTATGCACAGATGGGAAACAAAGCTAAAGAAGCTGGAGTTAATTCAGATTTTAAATCTATTAAGAGAAACAAATACACATGCTGTGAAATATAGTGTTGTTTGAAGGGATCAAACCTCTCAGATAAAGGATAGGCTCACACATCTACATGAAACAGCTAAGGAATAATACAAACAAAAGGTGAAAATTTAATTTAATTTTCATTCTTATCTCTTAAAGTTAAAGTAAATAGTGTGTTACCTGTAATCATTTGAATAATTTGGTTTAGTCACATACCACTCTGCGTCTTTTTCCCCAATAAATCTTTATTTTTTTTCCATTTAAATAGCCAGAAATTAAAGATAGGTAAAAGACAGGTGATCATACAATACAGTGATCATTCATACAGCTACATGTGCATATCAGTAATGGGTCCCGTTAAAGCTGTAAACCAACTCTGAAGACCACTGACAGGAGGGAAATGGTTGCTTGACGTCATTGTTTTGTCAAATGTAATTCATTATCCTGAGAAATTCAGCATGAAGTCCCAATTTCTGTAAATCAAACAATCAAAGTTGCTTATGCATACACAAAAGAAGACACACATGCACTCTAAAAATCCCATTGAAACCCTTCCAAACCCCACTGACAAAAATGTTGAGAGTCCTGTCTGATACTTCTGTGGAACAGCTTTTGGACAAAGCAAACCTAACAATCTGATCACATAAATCATTCTCAAGCAAAGAACGCAAGGCGTAATGTCAAACCAAAGAAATAAGACTAAAATAATAGAGCTGCAAGAGAGCCAACAAAGACTAAGTCATAACATTTTGGGCTTTCTTTTACATAACTTTAGGTCTTTGGCTCCGTCAGGCCTCTCGGAGAGAAAACTTGAGGAGAAACTGATCTGTAATTAGTTTTGCCTCCACCCCATCCCCCTGAAAAACTTAGTCATCCTACACAACTGTTAAATCTGAGCTACTTCAAATAACACAACCCCACACTCAATTACAGAGAAACACATCCAACAGTTAAAAGAAGAAAAAAAAACACACACACAGCAAAGATCAATTTCATGTTACCTAAAAATGTCCACACGCGGCGTTGACTCACTGACTCAGCTTGCCAGAAGATCCTCCAGATAGAAAGTTCTCCGAGATCTCCAATGACAGAAGTCTGTCTTTACCAGATCATGATGAAGGTAAGGAGTCCACCAGTAAAAGAGACGAAAAGCTTCCAAAGATGTTCTGGCATGCACAAGAACACTGAAAACATCGTCCTGACATCCGGTCCGACAGGAGCAACGCAGGAAATGTCTGTTTCAGCCTGTTTGCAGTTCAGCACAAACAGGCTGCATAAAGTCCTCAAACTTCTGTTAGTCACAGAGACTAACTACTGTGAGTGACACACAGTTACAATTGGGGGGGGGAGGATATGAAAGAGACGCTGAGCTAAGGTTGGATGTGTTTGCACCAGTGCAAATGTTGCTATTGTTAACAGTGGTATTAACCTCACAACACCAGAGAGTATACAGGGGACCGAACAACTTACATTTGAAGGTTTTAGGTGATAAAGAACTTGTTGGGAAAAATTAAGAAACTCAATGTCGTTTGTGCTGGTGCAAATAAACCAGGTCTGACCCTTCTGCAACAGTGCATCAATTTTCACCTTAGAAAAAAAAAAAAGCCTTTAGGGGCTCAGGAAAATAACACCCCTTTTTTATGAGTTTAGAATGGGAAAGCCTTAACGTGTTCTCGGTTGTTAACCTTGAATTTCTGGAAACCCAGACAGAAAGGAGGTTTAGCAATAGGCCAGCTAGATTCGAGGGGATGCTGTCAAAAAGCATGTCACGACTCCTCATTGCCAGAGTCGTCCTCATCGTAGCAGCAGTCTCCATCCCCGTCCTCCACATCGTCGTCATCATAGTAATAGTCATAGAAGAGGTCGGAGCCTTCATCGGGGGCTGGGGCACGTGTGCGGACGCAGTACTCGGCCAGCGTGGTGGGCACCTTCACACCATCGCGCTCAGCTTCTGCCTTAGTGGCTAATACCTGTTTCCTGATGTTAGAGAGTGAAAAAGATGATGAAAGACCTACACTCAACAATAAGGACACGCAATATCTTGGTCTACTATTCTTTGCAATGTTTCGTTAGTAGAGATAAGAGGGCGTCTCTGTTTACCTGATGATTTCTACGTATTCTCGGTCCTTGCCCTTGCTGTCCCTCCATTTGCGGTACATGACCGAGGCATCCACATTGGCAGGAGAGAAGGTGTTGGGTTCATTCAGTAGTGAGATAACACTCAGCAAAATGGTGCTGAAGCAAGTACAAAGGTAGGTTGAAAAAAGAAAGTCAGTGATGCAGCTGTTTTATAAAGAATAAACTTTATTTTTATTTGATAAACACACTATGGAAATATTGAGCCATTCTCCCTCTGTTTTCTTGAATACTGAACTGTTTAGTCTTTGTCTAGAGTTCTGCACAGTCTGCAGTGTGGCTACATCTCTGGCACTTTAGCAGGAGAACAAGGCGATATTAATCCGGGCGCGAGGAAATGACAGCATGAGCAATTATCTTTGTATTGCTGCAAAATAAAATTGCTGCTAATTTCAGAGAACATGAAGACTTATCATATTGTTGCACAACATAAAAACCTTTTTTTTTTTGTATAATTAACTGTGAAAATGTTCCTGTGATAGTGCCTTTATAATTTAAAAATTTAATGTTTTCCTGGTGCATGTGTTTACATTGTGCTGGTGCAATATTATTGCAAAACAAACTAATATTAACAAAAAAAAGGTAGCCAATGAAAGTACTAGTCAAAAACAGATCCTTTTACAAATGCAGTGCTGAATACAGCCATATATGCATGAAGTGTTCTGGGAACCTCCGAGTAGACATCACTGAAGACAAAAGTCATGTGATCAGCATTGGGGTGATTGAAAGAAGAAAATATGGGAGTTACCTAAAAAGCAATGACATTTGAGGGGAGTAATGAGAGAGGGTGCTTACCGGACATTCTGGGTGGGATTCCATCTCTCTGAAGGCAGCTCTCCACTCTGCGGGTCGTCCACTGGAGGATGCAATATGGAGATACACACATCTCCGTTCTAACAACAGAGGAACAAAACTCGTTTTTATATGAAATGCACAATTTAAACACTGAAACACCAAAAAAAGGGCATAAAAGGGTGTCACATTAAAACAGAGACAGGGTGTGTTACTTCACCTCGTAGATGTTTGGGTGCCACATCTTGGTGAGGAATCGGAAGGCAGGTGGGGAGTATGGGTAATCTATGGGGAACTTGATCCGAGCCTGGGAGACAAAACACATATTAACATGTGGCTCACATGCAACGGCCACAATATACTGCATGAAATATTTTAATGACGGGTGTTAATGTTACTGATTTAATATCTGCGGTGTAGGGATACGTTGTATTTAATTTGGCTAATATGATCTTTTCTGATTCATTTTTGGACATTGCAGATACGAATATGTTCACGAATTTTGCAGAGAGAGATATAGAATACAACACCTCTTCAAAATATATATATCTAACACGCATAAGATAAGAAACTGGTTTCTCAAAAAAAAAATCAAATTTTAATAACATTTTTAAGGGTACTTGGTGCAACCTACCAATGAACAGTGTTTACTGAATAGCGTTAGATAACAAAAATAGTCAATTCAAATGAAAAAATTAGTAAACAGTAATATTAAAGGATTAATTGCTTATTTTCGAGCTGATGTCGATGTTTAAATGTATTGCTTTTATTGGCAGGTTCCAATCACATGCCAATATTGTTGAGCATCCATAGAGTTGTCCGAGTTCGCAGTAACCTGTTAATCATTATGGTGTGTTTAAGAAACATATGCAATGTTTCTGTCAGTAGTAGCGTTTGTAACAACCCTACACACCTACTCCTACTGTACAAGGTATGTCATAGAGTATTGCTGTTTGTGATGAAAACCTGAACAAACAGATTACAATTTGCAGGCTGGCAACCTCTTATTCTCAATGTTGCAATCACACTAATTACTGGCAGCACAGAGGATGACGGCTCTGTGCATTATTATCCTGTGCATCAATAGCTCACCACGTCTGAGAGACTGACCTCTGCAAAGATTTCATTGGCTACAAATGTAGTTTAACATGTCAATCACCCCAATGGAGCACGGGTTTGTTAAATCAGGCCTGCTATTTTTCTTGGTATTTTTGTTTTCCATTTGATGGTGTAAAACTCGGCCAGTTATCAAAGTGACTGGTGCGTACGTTTTGATAAATGACTTGCAGAAAGTCAAAGACAAATAATTCCTACACACTTCCTTACCTTAAAATACCCCCCTTCATAGTGAGTGTTTGGGGGTCCGAAAATGGCCACTTCCCAGTTGTACATGTCAGCCTCGTCCACCAGTGTTATTTTGAATCCCTCCACAGGCTGCTCCTGAAGGCTCTTCATTTCCAACATGAGTGCTTTCTGTGAACTGGCTACATGAGAGGAGTCATGTTGCGCCATTGTGCACCACGTAGCCTTTAAGATGATCTGGGGTCGAGTGCGGGCAGCTTTGTGTACCTGGACTCTGCTAAACTAACCTCAGTGAACAACCCAGAGGAAGAAAAAAAAAACACAGCTTCAGTGTTCGGAGACAATGAAACAGGCCAAACCAGCCGGGCTGCGCATAAACCAAACAAAGGTTGTGTTGGTGTGTGCCCCAAAACAAAAAAGACAACTTATTTACAAATGTCAGAACTTATAAATTGATTGACTGACAAACACATCGTGGCTGAAGAGCAGCTCGGGCTTCAGTTGATCTACCTGACAGGACAAGCTCGGATATAAGCCGTAAATCTATTGGTAGCTGCTGGCTAATGTAAACTAGCTAACAAGCTCTACCTTAACCGACCAGCTAAAGCCGATCTTACCGTGGTTTGAATAATTTCTATCCCCTGTGAGAGCCAGATTACAACAGAAAACGCATCTATGTTTTTTTTTCTATAATGCGAGCGAATAAAAACTCTTCAGGTAGTGCATAGATATGCAGCTGTTTTCGCCCTAACATAGAGAAGAGTGTTACTGAAAGCAGCCCCCTCTCCCCTCAATGTCGGCAATGGCGCTATATGTCGTCTGGGATTTGTAGTCCACTTCATCTGTAATCATTGCTTCTAACCTTTAAAACTACAAATTTACCTTACAGTAACATACATTTTTATTGACTTCTATAGTTTAACGTTAACATGTGAAAAGTGGTTGAGGTTGACAATAATGTTTTTTTAAGTACTTGCTTAAAACGGATTTTTCGAAAACTACATTTGTCCTGCGAGTTACGTGACGTCACAAAAACATGAATGTTGTTTGTGTTTTTGAGAATCCGCCCTGACCTATTTCCACTCTCTGGCTTTATTTACAGACAGCAGTGCGTCGTTATAGTGTGAGTTTGATTAAGGTTGTTTTGCCTTACAGTAAATTGCATATATATTGTGGGTATTTATTTGCGTTTTATTTTCTAATTGTACATTTGTGACGTCTAAAGTATGCGCCAAATGTTTTTTTTTTTTAAAAAGTCCCTTTGAGGTGGCTTTCTGTTGCCTAAATGATTAATTCTGAAACCAGAATAAAAACGGCACTGATAGGATTTTGATATGTATTTAATGGTGTGAAGTAGGTATTTATTTACCGAAGAAAATGCTTTTCTAACACAGGAGTATATTTTTTCTCTTCGCGTCGACGTCGTTTTCTGAGTTACCTCTTATTTACGCGACAACAGGCACTCCGGACCCCGCGCTGGAAGAAAGTACGCGATGGGTTCGAAAACTCGACGTCGGTCTCGCTCCAAGTCCAGAAACCGGAGCCGTGAGCGGCGGAACAAGTCCAAAGTGAGTGGGTCTCGATCTCCGGAGAACAGAAGACCTCGCAGTCGGTCTGTGGACGCGAAAAGGACGGCCCGTGGACGTGGACGTGGACGGTCGAGCAGCGGGGACTCAGGCGACGGCTCTCCTGGACGAGGTCGGCCTCAACGCAGGGACCGTCCAGGTTCCAGGAGCGGCTCGGACAGTGACAGGACGCGAGCCACACACCGGGTCAGGAGCCGGTCGAGGGGTCGGTCTTCAAGGTAACAGTGTGTGCTGGTCTTATCCAGATGTTTGGTGTTATGAGCTACACTGAGGAGTGATGCTGATGTATCACAGCGAAACAAAGGTTTCCATATGTTTATGATCATGTGCCCTGCTTTATGTTAACGTTACAGAGCGATGATTTTGCAGCTGCCTACCCTAACACCCCATCATTTGCGTTTTAATATAAGTCACTTTATTTAATTTAGTCCCTCTTTATAAATAGGCACCATAGGAATCCTGAGAAGAACATGTATTCAAAACAGTTCATAAATCATATAACAGACAAAACATACAAGATAAAAAAATAAAAATACAGCATGTCCAGTGAGATTCTACAATTCACTTAGCAGACTCTTTTATGCAAAGCGATGTACATCAGAGAGTAAGTACAACACAAGCAAGGATCTAGAAAAAAGGGAACAATGTCAGTAAGAGCAAACGATCAGTTTGAGTCCGATTGGACACACAGGTGCTGACAGGCATTGCACAGAGGCAAAGCACAACATTGACGGCAGTTCTGGAGAGCTCTAATCAGTATAGGAACCATCTTATAAGTCGTCGTTATCAAACAAAAACAATTGTCACAACCATCATCATCATCAATGATATCAAAACCATCATCATTAAGTTAGTAGGTATTCATGAAAGAGCTGGGTCTTTAGCTTTTTCTTAAAGGTGCAGAGGGACTCTGCAGACCGAATGGAGTTTGGAAGTTCATTCCACCACCGGGGGGCAACAGAGGAGGAGAGTCTAGTCAGAGACTTAGGACCCTGTTGTGAAGGTTGGATCAGACGCCTTTCATTGGCAGATCACTTTGAATTTGAAAGCCTAGACCTAAATTTAGACTGGCCACAAAATACCATAGTGAGTTGCATTCTTTTCTGCATGGTTGCCCAGGAGATTTGGTCCACATGTTGTGTAATATAAAGACTTTTCAGTCTCAAAAAAGGTGGCTAGTTTACAGAAACTTTTTCTGTAGGTTTTAAAGGTTGTAGTAACCAGCAGCTGGATCTAATCAATAACCATTCCCATTGTGAACTGAAATTGTGTTAGTCTCCACTACATGGTTGACCACCGTTGCGAGAAAAAGTGCTAAAATTTGTCACTTTTCTTTTCAGCTCTGATTCAGATGATCCAACGGTTAGGAGGAAGAGACAGGACATGAAGAATCGCAGAGAAACGTCACAAGAGAGGAGAAGGGGGAGATCTGACTCCAGTGACAGGAGCAGTGACAGAGAAAGGAGCAGACGGATAAGTCCTGCCAGAGAGAGTCCAGCTAGAGACAGACCAAAGGCGGTCAAAGACAGAGAAAGGTGGAGGAGCAACAGCAGAGACAGGGAAAGAAAAGGAGAGAAAGACAAAAGCCGAGAGTGTAGGAAGAGGAGTGAAGACAGGGAGCGAGGGAGGAGCGTGAAAAGCAGAGAGAGGACTGACAAAGACAAAGGCAGGCGGCACTCCAATTCTTCAGATTCGTCTGATAGCTCTGGATCTGATCGTGGGGGCCGTGTGGTTAAAGAAAAAGAAGACAAGAAAAAACAGAAGGAGATGTTGAAAGCTCTGGAAACACCAGAGGAGAAGAGGGCTAGGAGGCTGGCAAAGAAGGAAACAAAGGAGAAGAAAAGGAGAGAAAAGATGGGCTGGAGTGAGGAGTACATGGGATACACCAATGCTGACAATCCCTTCGGTGATAACAACTTGTTAGGCACATTCAAGTGGCAGAAGGTGAGTTTGAGCACAGTTCAACACATTTTTTTTTTTTTACCTTTTCAAAGTAGCCCATTATAATCTTAATAATCATTTAAACTTCTAACTTATCTTGTTTGTTTTTGATTCTTGGTTTTGTTTTGTTTTAGGCACTGGATAAGAAAGGAATTGGTCATCTTGGTGAAAAGGAGCTTAAAGACAGGAACAAATGTATTCAGGAGGAGAACCGGAGAGAGCTGCAGAAGGTATGAGCACAGGCTTTTATTTCTTTGCAGTATGATGTTAGACTTCTGCGTAACGGCTATTTAAATAAAAATGCAATCACGATGTGTAAAGGTGAAACAGCTGCGTCTTGAGAGGGAGCGGGAAAAAGCCATGAGAGAGACGGAGCTTGAGATGCTACAGAGAGAGAAGGAGGCGGAGCACTTCAAAACCTGGGCTGAACAGGAGGACAACTTCCATCTGCATCAGGCCAAACTACGGTGAGTGTGCATCAACAATCCTTTCCCCATTTTCACTCATCTCTTCATGTCACACAGTGCAGTTTAAGGCTACTACAACTGTCCCCAAACACATATTTGAACTGTGTCTACCATACCGCGTGTGATATGTGTCCAGGTCTAAGATTAGAATCCGGGATGGTCGCGCCAAGCCCATTGACCTTTTGGCTAAGTACATCAGTGCAGAAGATGACGATCTCGCTGTGGAGATGCATGAGCCATACACCTTTCTCAACGGGCTCACCGTCACGGACATGGACGACCTGCTGGAGGACATAAAGGTGCGTGTTTATTTTCCATTTTAAGATTAAAGTTGTATTGCAAGAGTTTGTCAAACTCCTAACTGTAAGAGTAGCCATCACATCACCCGTCACATCCTAGAAAATACAAGACTGTAAAAACTATAAAGACTGTCTGACAGATTCTTTTAAGTGTCCTTGTGTTAATTCAGTCTACCACTATTTCTTTACCTCCCACTGAGGGGCACCACATCCCAGAAAATATTAATTTAATACTCAATCTATGTTACTTTAGGCTTGAAACTGATTAAAATATAATCCAGATTTGATCTCATGCAGATCCAAACTAACCATAGTAGAAGCCATGTCTGAACGGCTCCACATTTTTCTTGTTCTTCAAAAGAACGGTGAACTGCATGAGTGTTGTTCTGCCGGTAGGTTTACATGGAGCTGGAGCAAGGGAAGAACGTGGACTTCTGGAGAGACATGACGACTATCACTGAGGACGAGATCAGCAAACTGAGAAAGCTGGAGGCCTCTGGGAAAGGACCAGGTACATCACACAAAAGATAAACATCTTATGCACAATCTAAGTGTAGGTGCAAGCTGCTCTCAACTGTTTCTTGTCTTTACTTTCAATGCAACCTTTTCATTCTCAGGTGATCGCCGTGAGGGCATCAACACAGCTGTGAGCACTGATGTTCAGACGGTGTTCAAAGGAAAGACATACAGCCAGCTGCAGGCGCTGCACCTGAACATCGAGACAAAGATTCGGGCTGGAGGATCAAATCTGGATATCGGTTACTGGGAAAGTCTGCTCCAGCAGGTCAGAGTCTACATGGCCAGAGCAAGGTACATATGCAGGAACCCTTATTGCTTTTGTAATATTTAAAATGGTAATGTTTTTCTTTTCTTGGAAATGAGTTGAAATCTAAGTTAGTTACTCTATGATGTTACAGGTTGAGAGAGCGACACCAGGATGTGCTGCGTCAGAAGCTGTTCAAGCTGAAACAGGAACAAGGAGTAGAGAGTGAACCTTTGTTCCCCATCATCAAAGAGGAGCAGAGGAGTGATGAAGAAGAAGAGTAAGTTCCCTCAAAGCCTTACACACAAGCTGCAACCTGGGCTTCAAGTTTCACTTCACACTATGTTCATGCTCTACTTTTTCAGCGTGTGTGTTATAACTTAAAAACGAAATCTTGAATAATTATGACGCATCCTCTCCTCGCTTAATTAAAATGCCAATCAAAATGTTTCTGTATCTTCAGGGAAAGAGGAGAGCAAACAAGAGGGGCAGTAACAGAAGAGGCCGACCAGGCTTCATCCTCCTCCACAAAATACAGGAAAAGAGGACTTGAAGATGATGGAGAGGAGGCAGGACCGTCGACATCCACAGCAGGAAACCAAGAGAAGGACGAGGGAGAAAAGGATGACAAGAAAGATGAGGAGAAGGGAGAGGTGGTGGAGGCGGTGCTGACAGAGGAGGACCTGATCCAGCAGAGCCAGGCAGAGTACGACTCTGGCCGCTACAGTCCCACACTG